CCCATCCCCTCGTCCTCCCAACCATTCCCCACTCCTCTGTTCCCTCGTCCTCCAAATCATTCTCCTCTCCTTTATCCCCTCGTCCTCCTCATCATTCTCCTACTCCCCCGTCCCCTCGTCCTCCCCACCATTCCCCACTCCCTTCTCTGATGCATTCCCAAATGATCTGGTATTCCCTTAAGAAAATTGGGAACATCAAATGATCTGATGTTCCCATCACTGAAAAATAAGAAGAACAGTTAAAAACCAAATGAAAAATTAAACAAATAAACTATACTCATGAAATGAACTGTATGGTAAACAACACAGCTCAATTCCAAGGCAATGTCACACAAAATAATGAAATCAAATTGAAAATAAATCGATATCGATTAAATTTCAATGTATCAATGCAATCGGAAACACTGAAATGAAATCGTAAAATATATAGTAGAGGCAGAATTCAGCCATGCGTTGCTGTGGCCTAGCACTGCACATGCATTACTGAGCCACAGCAACCTATCCTGTCCCCCAGTCCTCTTCACCATTCTCCCCTCACCCGTCTCCTTGGCCTCCCAACCATTCCCCACTTCACCGTTACCTCGTCCTCCCCACCATTCCCCACTCCACCATCCCCTCTTCCTTCCCACCGTTCCCCACACCCCCTGTTCATTTGTCCTCCCAATCATTCTCCATTCCCCCATCCCCTAGTTCCCACCATCCCAAATTCCCCCATCCCCTCGTCCTTCCCCACCATGACCCCCCTCCCTTGTCCCCTCGTCCTCCACACCATCTCTCACTTCCGTCCCCTCGTCATCCCCACCATTCCCCACTCTCTCGTCCGATGCCTTCCCAAATGGTCTGATGTTCCCATCAGAAAATTGGGAACATCAAGTGATCTGATGTTCTCATCACTGAAATATAAGAAAAACAGTTAAAAAAAATGAAAGGAAAATAAGAAAAAAATAAACTATACTCACGAAATGGTAAACAACAATTCCATGGCAATTCACACAAAATAATTAAATCAAAATGAAAATAAATCAAAATCTATGAAAATTCAATTTATCAACGCAATCAGAAATATTGAAATGGAATTGTAACATATTTAGTATAGCATGTGTGTTGCTCTTACATGCAACAGATGGTATTGTTTTTCAAGAAAAGCATAGTTTTACCTGTCACAGGTATGGCATCTATTTGTATACTTATGAAATGAACAGTATGGTAAACAACACCGCTCAATTCCAACACAATGTCACACAATGTTTTATTTTTTTAATAAAATAAATCGAAATCTATGAAAATAAAATTTATCAATGCAATCAGAAACATTGAAATGGAATTCATGACATATTTAATGTAGCGTGCATGTAGCTATTATGTTCAACAGATGGCGCAGTTTTTCAAAAACTCTTGTTTTTACCTATCAGAGGGGTGGCATCGATATAGTAGGTATATAAAATGACGAGCGTATTCGAATGCAACGTTGTGTCAAAAATTTAAAGCAATTGGTGAAGAACTTTTGGAGATTACAGCGTGTGTTGCTCTTACGTCCAACAGATGGCACCGTTTTTCAAAAACGCATGTTTTCCCTGTCATAGGTGAGGCATGTATATAGTAGATATATAAAAAGACGCGCCTATTCGAATGGAACTTTGTGTCAAAATTTCAAAGCAATCGGTAAAGAGGTTTCGAAGATTTCCTTCACATGAAAAACACATGTGTTTTTCAGAAAAAAACATGTTTCTTTACCGTCACAGACGTGACATCTATATAGTATGTATAAAAACCACCGCTCGGATGCGAATCAGAACGAATACCATTTCGTATGTCATACCATATGTCACGAATACTATTTCAATGTTTCCGATTGCATTGATATATTTTATTTTCATAGATTTCGATATATTTTATTTTTTACTAGCAGTACTCGGCCACGCGTAGCTGTGGCTCAGCAACGCATGTGCGTTGCTGAGCCACAGCAACCTTCCCTGTCCCCCAGTCCTCCCCGCTATTCCCCTCTCACCCGTCTTTTCGGCCTCAAAACTATTCCCCACTCCACCGTCCCCTCGTCCTCCCCGCCATTCCCCACTCCACCATCCCCTCTTCCTTCCCACCACTTCCCTGTCCCTTTATTCTCCAACACCTTTCTCCATTTCCCCATCCCCTTGTCCCCACCACCCCAAACTACTCCGTCCCCTCGTCCTTCCCTACTCCAGCATCCCCTCTTCCTTCCCACCATGCCCCACTTCCCTGTCCCTTTGTCCTCCCACCCTTCTGCATTCCTCCATACCCCTCGTCCCCACCATCCCAAACTCCCCCCCCCCCCGTCCCCTTGTCCTTCCCCATCATTACCCCCTCCCTTGTCCCCTCGTCCTCCACACCATCTCTCACTTCCGTCCCCTCGTCATCCCCACTATTCCCCCACTCCCTCGTCCGATGCCTTCCCAAATGGTCTGATGTTCCCATCAGAAATTTGGGAACATCAAGTGATCTGATGTTCCCATCACATCTATCCTGAAATATAAAAAAAAAAAACAGAAAATGAAATGAAAATATGAAAAAATAAAAAAAATAAACTATACTCACAAAATGAACGGTATGGAAACAACAGAGCTCAATTCCAATGCAATTCACACAAAAACATTAAATCAAAATGAAAATAAATCAAAATCTATGAAAATTCAATTTATCAATGCAATCAGAAACGCTGAAATGGAATTGTAACATATTTAGTACAGCATGTGTGTTGCTCTTACATGCAACAGATGGCGCTGTTTTTTCAAGAAAAACAGTTTTACCTGTCACAGGTGTGGCATCTATACTTATACTTACGAAATGAATGGTATGGTAAACATACACATAATAATTCAATAAACAAATAAAATATATCGAAATCTATGAAAATAAAATATATCAATGCAATCGGAAACATTGAAATGGAATTCGTGACATATTTAGTATACCGTGCATGTTGCTATTATGTGCAACAGATGGCGCTGTTTTTCAAAAACGCATGTTTTTATCTGTCACAGGGGTGGCATCGATATAGTAGGTATATGAAAAGATGTGCCTATTTGAATGCAACGTTGTATCAAAATTTCAAAGCAATCGGTGAAGAACTTTTTGAGATTACAGCATGTGTTGCCCTTACGTCCAACAGATGGCCCTGTTTTTTTAAAAAATATGTTGTTTCCTGTCACAGGTGAGGCATGTATATAGTAAATATTTAAAAAGACGCGCCTATTCGAATACAACGTTGTGTAAAAATTTCAAAACAATCGGTAAAGAGGGTTCAAAGATTTCCTTCACTTGGAAAAACACATGAAAAACACAATTTTTCAGAAAAAGCATGTTTTTTATCCGTCACAGACGTGACATCTATATAGTATGTATATAAAAACCTGGCCGGATGCGAATGGAACGTTGTGTGAAAATGTCGAAGCAATCGGTGAAGAACTTTCGGAGATTAGTGATTTTGAACAAACGAACATTTCCATTTTTATTTATATAGATAATAATTTGTTAAAGATTAATCAACTACCTCACACTATCAAGTTCTCGCTCTATTGACACTTTCTTTTCCCAGACATGAACAAAAGTTATTGTTTCTATATGCGACACTGTTGGGTACAGGAGTAGACGACTTCCGGCTCCCCTTAACAGGCCTAACTTTTCCTTTACTAAGTTCATGGTAAGCCATACCTTACGTTGAAATAAAATCACTGAAGAAGAACGGGGAATCGAACCTGGGTAACCCCAGACACGCCCCTTAACCTATGAATCATGAAATATTAAAGATTATATAGACAGGAATCCACTCGAAGCCTGGAATCACCGAACTGCGTGGTTACCAACCTACAATTTACATATAAACCAAATATGCTCTTGACCGGCTACCATCGCGTGTCTGGGAACACCCCGTACGATAATTCGATCCTCCCGTCAAGCCCTGATCATTTTCTATAAGATACATCAGGTTATTGTGTCTTCTTTGTGAATCTTACCATACTAGTAGGCATTCGTCAGTCTCAGGAGATTATGGAGTTGCGCTCTGGTTATCGGTCTGGTGTGGCCTTTCCAGGGCGTAAAGCCAGGGCAGGATGATACTGGGGAGAAGCTGTTACCCAAGCAGCAGGTCCCCCGTATTTTTCTAAATAGTTAATTATTTCCTAGCAGAACAAGACCAGCCAAAAATATATATAAACCACCATTGCAATTTTGCACAACATTCATTTCAATAGCTAATGTACCCTAAGAATTTGAATCTCTGAATTATCTCCCAAAATTTAATTAAATTGAAACGATTGTATTAAATTGTAAAGTCTTTATCGTGTCTTTATTTGCTGAGGTGAAAATATCGCCTGACGAACGAGGCTCATCTCGGACCATCAATGAACACCGTAAATATTATGCAATTATGAAATTTTATTTTTGCCTCGGCAAAGTAATTATGTATTCTGTGAAGGATGTCAACGTTGTAATTGTGCAATCAGTTGTGTAATTGATGAGCCAGCTGTGTTATTGTTGTGTCAGCTGTGTTATTGTTGTGTCAGCTGTGTTATTGTTGTGTCAGCCGTGACTGCCTCCCGTGTGTCAGCCGTCAGTCCTGGTGTTCTCAGCTGTCATCAGCAGACCCTCGAAGCTTTCAGCATCACATTTGTGGCTCATAAATATATTATGTCCCATCCAAGGGCTCAGGGTTCGATTCTAGCGGTAAAAAATGAACTGTTGGGCACGTTTCCTTTTCCCCGATGCATCTGTTCACCCTAAACAGTCCGACGTGTGTGTGTGTTACATCACTAGGAAAAGGCCAAGTGATGTAACCAGGTATACTTAGGCCTGGGGAGACGTAAGTATACAGGCTACCTGTCCCTGACAACCGTCAAGAATATGGTAAAAAAAAGCTGACTTGTGGCTGCCGCGAGGCACAACCGTTCCTCCCAGCCGCCGGAAGATGAAATTTGCTGAGAAGCTAAGCTTGTCTGCTGAGGAGCTAAGGTTGTGTACTGAAGAGCTTAAAGATTGTCTGTTGAGGAGCCAAGATTGTCTGCTGAGGAGCTACGATTGTCTGCTGAGGAGCTAAGATTCTCTGCTGATGAGCTAAGATTCTCTGCTGATGAGCTAAGATTGTCTGCTGATGAGCTAAGATTCTCTGCTGATGAGCTAAGATTGTCTGCTGATGAGCTAAGATTGTCTGCTGAGGAGCTAAGATTGTCTGGTGAGGAGCTAAGATTGTCTGCTGAAGAGCTAAATTTGTCTGGTGAGAAACTACGATTGTCTGCGGAGAAGCTAAGATTGTCTGCTGAGGAGCTAATATTGTCTGCTGAGAAGCCAAGGTTGTCTGATGAGAAGCTACGATTGCCTGCTGAGGAGCTAAGATTGTCTCTGGAGGGTTTAAGATTGTCTGCGGAGAAGCTACGATTGTCTGATGAGAGTGTTAAGATTGTCTGTTGTGGAGCTATGAATGTCTGCTGAGAATCTACGATTGTCTGCTGAGGAGCTAAGATTGGATGTCGAGGAGCTAAGATTGTCTGCTGAGGAACTAAGATTGTCTGCTGAGGAGCTAAGATTGGATGTTGAGGAGCTAAGATTGTCTGCTGAGAAGCTAAGTTTGTCTGCTGAGGAGCTAAGATTGTCTGATGAGGAGCTAAGATTGTCTGCTGAGGAGCCAAGATTGTCTGCTGAGGAGCTAAGATTGTCTGTTGAGGAACCATGATTGTCTGTTGAGGAACCTAGATTGTCTGCTAAGGAGCTAAGATTGTCTGCTGGGGAGCTTATATTGCCTGCTGAGGAATCAAGATTGTCTGCTGATGAGTAAAGATTGTCTGCTGAGGATCTAGTATTGTCTGCTGAGGAGCCAAGATTGTCTGCTGAGTAGCTAAGATTGTCTGCTGAGGAGCCAAGATTGTCTGCTGAGTAGCTAAGATTGTCTGCTAAGGAGCTAAGATTGTCTGCTGGGGAGCTTATATTGCCTGCTGAGGAATCAAGATTCTCTGCTGAGGAGCTAATATTGTCTGCTGAGGATCTAGTATTGTCTGCTGAGGAGCCAAAATTGTCTGATGAGGAGCTAAGACTGTCTGCTGAGGAGCTAAGATTATCTCTGGAGGGGTTAAGATTGTCTGTTGAGGAGCTATGAATGTCTGCTGAGAATCTACGATTGTCTGCCGAGGAGCTAAGATTGGATGTTGAGGAGCTACGATTGTCTGTTGAGGAACCATGATTGTCTGCTGAGGAACCTAGATTGTCTGCTAAGGAGCTAAGATTGTCTGCTGGGGAGCTTATATTGCCTGCTGAGGAATCAAGATTGTCTGCTGATGAGTAAAGATTGTCTGCTGAGGATCTTAGATTGTCTGCTGAGGAGCCAAGATTGTCTGCTGAGGAGCTAAGATTGTCTGCTGAGGAGCTAAGATTGTCTGCTGAAGAGCTAAATTTGTTTGGTGAGAAACTACGATTGTCTGCTGAGAAGCTAAGATTGTCTGCTGAGGAGCTAAGATTGTCTGCTGAAGAGCTAAATTTGTTTGGTGAGAAACTGCGATTGGTAGCTGAGAAACTACGATTGTCTGCTGAGAAGCTAAGATTGTCTGCTGAGGAGCTAAGACTGTCTGCTGAAGAGCTAAATTTGTTTGGTGAGAAACTGCGATTGTCTGCTGAGAAACTACGATTGTCTGCTGAGAAGCTAAGATTGTCTGCTGAGGAGCTAAGATTGTCTGCTGAAGAGCTAAATTCGTTTGGTGAGAAATTGCGATTGTCTGCTGAGAAACTACGATTCTCTGCTGAAAAGCTAAGATTTCTGCTGAGGAGCTAATATTGTCTGCTGAGAAGCCAAGATTGTCTGATGAGAAGCTACGATTGTCTGCTGAGGAGCTAAGATTGTCTCTGGAGGGGTTAAGATTGTCTGCTGAGGAGCTAATATTGGATATTGAGGAGCTAAGATTCTCTGCTGAGGAGCAAAGATGGTCTGCTGAGGAGCTAAGCTTATCTACTGAGGAGCTAAGATTGTCTGCTGAAGAGCTAAATTCGTTTGGTGAGAAACTGCGATTGTCTGCTGAGAAGCTAAGATTGTCTACACATAAGGGCCATAACTGGCCGACCCCTCACAGTGTTCAAGAGAGAACTGGATAAGCACCTCCAAAGGATACCTGATCAACCAGGCTGTGACTCATACGTCAGGCTGCGAGCAGCCGCGTCCAACAGCCTGGTTGATCAGTCCGGCAACCAGGAGGCCTGGTCGACGACTGGGCCGCGTGGACGCTAAGCCCCGGAAGCACCTCAAGGTAACCTCAAGGTTGTCTGCTGAGGAGCTAATATTGTCTGCTGAGAAGCCAAGATTGTCTGATGAGCAGCTACGATTGTCTGATGAGAAGCTACGATTGTCTGCTGAGGAGCTAAGATTGTCTCTGGAGGGGGTTAAGATTGCCTGCTGAGGAGATAGGATTGTCTGCTGAGGAGCTAAGATTGTCTGTTCAGGCGCTAGGCTTGTCTGCTGAGGAGCTAAGCTTGTCTGCTGAGGAGCTAAAGATTGTCTGCTGAGGAGTTAGGATTGTCTGCCGAAGAGCTAAGATTCTGTTTCCGGGTACTACGTTAATGGGAATTGCAAGATGGCGCAGGTAATATGAACCTAATCTCATTTGTGAAAGTCTCGATCTCTGGGGCCTCGATCTCTGGTCGGCCGCTTTGGCAACTATGACGATGGGGGTTGGTGTTTAGTTGGATATACTTGGGTTATGTGTGTGAGTATGTGTTGTGTTTATATGTGGCCTTCGTACTGCTGCTGCTTGTGCATACCGGTTGTTTGTTGCTACATTTGCTGTATCTTCTTGTATTGCAATGATTACTACTGTTACTACTATTAGTTCTGCTAGTACATGTACTGTTACTATTTCTACCTCTGCTAGTACAATATATATATATATATATATATATATATATATATATATATATATATATATATATATATATATATATATATATATATATATATATATGTCGTACCTAGTAGCCAGAACGCACTTCTCAGCCTACTATGCAAGGCCCGATTTGCCTAATAAGCCAAGTTTTCATGAATTAATTGTTTTTTTCTCGACCTAACCTACCTAACCTAACCTAACCTAACTTTTTCGGCTACCTAACCTAACCTAACCTATAAAGATAGGTTAGGTTAGGTTAGGTAGGGTTGGTTAGGTTCGGTCATATATCTACGTTAATTTTAACTCCAATAAAAAAAAATTGACCTCATACATAATAAAAAATTAGAAAATATATTAATTCAGGAAAACTTGGCTTATTAGGCAAATCGGGCCTTGCATAGTAGGCTGAGAAGTGCGTTCTGGCTACTAGGTACGATGTATATATATATATATATATATATATATATATATATATATATATATATATATATATATATATATATATATATATATATATATATATATATATATATATATATATATATTTTATTAAATATGACCGAAAAAGTAAGATTAATAATTCTAACACGAATTTTCTCAATCTTTCGTACATTATGCTTCACTGTTGGAGGTAAATCAAAAATCACTTCTCCAAAATTCATTTTTATTTCTAGTCTGACGCGACACGGGCGCGTTTCGTAAAACTTATTACATTTTCAAAGACTTCACAAATACACAACTGATTAGAACTTGCGTTTCCCTGATTTTATATCTACATTTGAGTGAGGTGGGAAGGGTGATGTGGCATTACATTTGAGTGAGGTGGGAAGGATGATGTGGCATTAGAGGATATTAATAGGGTATTAAAAGTATCAACACAAGACAGAACACGAAACAATGGATATTGAATAGAAGTGTTTGTAGAAAGCCTATTGGTCCATATTTCTTGATGCTTCTATATTGGAGCGGAGTCTTGAGGTGGGTAGAATATAGTTGTGCAATAATTGGCTGTTGATTGCTGGTGTTGACTTCTTGATGTGTAGTGCCTCGCAAACGTCAAGCCGCCTGCTATCGCTGTATCTATCGATGATTTCTGTGTTGTTTACTAGGATTTCTCTGGCGATGGTTTGGTTATGGGAAGAGATTATATGTTCCTTAATGGAGCCCTGTTGTTTATGCATCGTTAAACGCCTAGAAAGAGATGTTGTTGTCTTGCCTATATACTGGGTTTTTTGGAGCTTACAGTCCCCAAGTGGGCATTTGAAGGCATAGACGACGTTAGTCTCTTTTAAAGCGTTCTGTTTCGTGTCTGGAGAGTTTCTCATGAGTAGGCTGGCCGTTTTTCTGGTTTTATAGTAAATCGTCAGTTGTATCCTCTGATTTTTGTCTGTAGGGATAACGTTTCTATTAACAATATCTTTCAGGACCCTTTCCTCTGTTTTATGAGCTGTGGAAAAGAAGTTCCTGTAAAATAGTCTAATAGGGGGTATAGGTGTTGTGTTAGTTGTCTCTTCGGAGGTTGCATGGCTTTTCACTTTCCTTCTTATGATGTCTTCGATGAAACCATTGGAGAAGCCGTTATTGACTAGAACCTGCCTTACCCTACAGAGTTCTTCGTCGACTTGCTTCCATTCTGAGCTGTGGCTGAGAGCACGGTCGACGTATGCGTTAACAACACTCCTCTTGTACCTGTCAGGGCAGTCGCTGTTGGCATTTAGGCACATTCCTATGTTTGTTTCCTTTGTGTAGACTGCAGTGTGGAAACCTCCGCCCTTTTCCATGACTGTTACATCTAGAAAAGGCAGCTTCCCATCCTTTTCCGTCTCGTAAGTGAAACGCAGCACGGAACTCTGCTCAAATGCCTCCTTCAGCTCCTGCAGATGTCTGACATCAGGTACCTGTGTAAAAATGTCGTCAACATACCTGCAGTATATGGCCGGTTTCAAGTTCATGTCGACTAAGACTTTTTGCTCGATGGTACCCATGTAGAAGTTTGCAAACAGGACACCTAGGGGAGAACCCATAGCGACCCCATCTACTTGCTTATACATATGCCCATCCGGGCTCAAGAAGGGTGCCTCTTTAGTACAAGCTTGGAGTAGTTTCCTCAGAATACTTTCTGGCATGTCAAGAGGAGTACAGGCTGGATCACGATACACTCTGTCGGCTATCATTCCGATTGTCTCGTCCACAGGTACGTTGGTAAACAGCGATTCTACGTCCAACGAGGCTCTTATCCCTGTGGCCCGTGCGCCCCGCAGTAAGTCCACAAATTCCTTTGGAGACTTCAGGCTGAAGGCGCAAGGAACATAAGGAGTCAGCAGGCCGTTGAGTCGCTTTGCCAATCTGTACGTGGGTGTGGGTATCTGGCTAATGATTGGCCGAAGTGGGTTTCCAGGCTTGTGCGTCTTGACATTTCCATACGCATATCCAGGTTTATATTCCCCAATGATCTTTGGCAGGTGGAGTCCGGATTTCTTGGCGTTCACAGTTTCGATCAGTTTGTTGACCTTTGCTTTTAATTCGGCTGTAGTGTCCTTCGTTACCCTTTGGAACTTAGTTTGGTCAGAGAGTATGATGTTCATTTTCGCCAGATATTCGTCTTTTTTAAGAATGACATATATTGGCGACTTGTCACCTCTCCTGACAACTATCTCCTTGTTCTCACGAAGGCTTTTAGCTGCCGCTCTAAGCTCGGGGGACAGTATGGTGCTTCTGTAGTTGCCTCGATTCTTTCCTCCTTCTGCAATAAGTTCTGCTTGTAAGGTATCTTTGGTAGTGACCTTCTTTTGTGTCTCGAGGTCGAATATGTCGTCCAACAGAATTTCCAACTCCACTTTCCGGGCCATTTCACTCGGTCTGGACATAACATGACAGTTTATGCCCAGATTTAGGAGAGTGACTTGGTCTTCAGTGAGGTTAATTCCTGCAAGGTTCAGGAAGCCATCTCTTGGTCGTGGAATTGCCATAGGTCCTCCATATAATGTTGTTACTATTGTGCGTATGGAAATGTCAAGACGCACAAGCCTGGAAACCCACTTCGGCCAATCATTAGCCAGATACCCACACCCACGTACAGATTGGCAAAGCGACTCAACGGCCTGCTGACTCCTTATGTTCCTTGCGCCTTCAGCCTGAAGTCTCCAAAGGAATTTGTGGACTTACTGCGGGGCGCACGGGCCACAGGGATAAGAGCCTCGTTGGACGTAGAATCGCTGTTTACCAACGTACCTGTGGACGAGACAATCGGAATGATAGCCGACAGAGTGTATCGTGATCCAGCCTGTACTCCTCTTGACATGCCAGAAAGTATTCTGAGGAAACTACTCCAAGCTTGTACTAAAGAGGCACCCTTCTTGAGCCCGGATGGGCATATGTATAAGCAAGTAGATGGGGTCGCTATGGGTTCTCCCCTAGGTGTCCTGTTTGCAAACTTCTACATGGGTACCATCGAGCAAAAAGTCTTAGTCGACATGAACTTGAAACCGGCCATATACTGCAGGTATGTTGACGACATTTTTACACAGGTACCTGATGTCAGACATCTGCAGGAGCTGAAGGAGGCATTTGAGCAGAGTTCCGTGCTGCGTTTCACTTACGAGACGGAAAAGGATGGGAAGCTGCCTTTTCTAGATGTAACAGTCATGGAAAAGGGCGGAGGTTTCCACACTGCAGTCTACACAAAGGAAACAAACATAGGAATGTGCCTAAATGCCAACAGCGACTGCCCTGACAGGTACAAGAGGAGTGTTGTTAACGCATACGTCGACCGTGCTCTCAGCCACAGCTCAGAATGGAAGCAAGTCGACGAAGAACTCTGTAGGGTAAGGCAGGTTCTAGTCAATAACGGCTTCTCCAATGGTTTCATCGAAGACATCATAAG